AATTACAATCAGTATAAGAGACTCCAAGGCCTTTCCTTCCAACAAACAACCAATCACATGAAAGTTTTACACATCATAATCAATTAATTACTCGTCAAGCTGTCTAGAGAAAACATTTCTATACATTGTCAACGCCAACTAATATTGATGGGGTAATAATCTCGCACTAACATTCCACAAAGATACCACCTTAGTTAAACTCGCCAACAACATTGGTTTAGAATTACAGCTACTGTCTTGTATCTTAAAAACTGCAGAGTCATAAGATGTTTTTGGTTGATTTCGACCAGCTCGCCATCTGGTCTTGTCATTAACCTTTATCAGTATATGTCATGGCAACCACTGTCAAACTGACTGAAATATAAATCATGATAGAGATATAAACTGTTTATACCTGTTTTGATGCGCGCCACGTTTGTTTGTGGGCTTAACTTTTTAATCCAATAAACAACCGATCGAACTACATGTAACTCGACTACTAGTATATCATAATAACGCATATCCATTATTATTTCATCAAATAACGCGAGACAGTACGATATGTACACAGGAGGTAGTGAATGATAATGCTAACTTGATTTTTTTTGTTAAAAACTCCACAAATGCGACAATACATATGCAAGTTATTTATGTGTTTATTTTCCATATTTATGTAATTATGAACCAAACAAGAATAGAGATAGCTAAAATGTATGCTCCATTAAAATATCCGCTCCTTACTGAATATTCAATGACTTCAATCGCTTAGTTATGTGAGCATATAAATCTTCAAACAGATTTTCCACACAAATTACGAAGCTTCCATACAAATGATCACTTTCAAAGCCAACGCCGCCATTTGACCTTTATGGAAAAACTTTTCACATATTCTAGGAAAATTCAAAATAATGAGAAATACTAATATGAAGTTGCTCATTATATATTCGTGAATATCGCAGACGAAAGCAGGAGATATTAAAATTCTGTAACTCGCGTAAAAAAATTGCCGATTTGAACAGAAACAAAGACGATCGAAAGGTCGAAACACATAGATTTCATTTAATTTCAGTTAGATCGAAAAGTATGCGCCTGTGCGTTTGGCACTAGAATGACATTACGAAAACACAAAGTAGGTAAATGCGTGCGTGTTCGGGAATCTTCGGGTAAATACGTGTGTGTTCGGGAATCTTCGGGTTAACGTGTGTCAATAAACTACCAGCAAGGTCTGCCGAGGCACACATCATACTAGCCTGACATGTAGGCGTTAGTGGTGCCTTCGCCGGTCGAACGGCATCATCAACCTGTGTTGGGTTTGGAGGGCGCAACTCACGCGACCTTGTCAGGCTAACATCATACGGGTGTATTGTCCAATACACACTTGCAACAATAGGCGTTGATAGTCTGTCTATACTCATTACTAGTATTACTAGTCTGCGGTCTATAGTAGTCTGAAATTAAGGTAGTAGCTGTGACGTCAATACAATAATACAAGTTCAAGTTCATTGACGTACATACATGCATAGTTTTGTTCTGAAAAAATGGCATAGTTGCCTTGTCGAAAGATCAGGTTTCACAGCATGTGTTCCAATGAGTGACATCTTGGAGTGTTGAATAAAACATTATAGTAAAGCATGAGCAGTGTAGGTATCTGTATGTATGCATGCCTGCATATGTGTTCCTGTTCCATCAATATCCCAAGAATCAAATGTTAGATTTCAATGATGCTTGTGATATTTTGCAGACCTGATAAAATTTTAGTCGAAATATGTGCATGTTACTAATATGTTATAGTTTTATACACTGCCAGAAAACAGAATTTTTTTTTTTAAATTTGGAAATACAACTTTATTTCCATTACCTTTGCTTGTCAAAAACTGCTGAGTGACAGGCAAATTGGTCTGTTTTTTCTGCTTCTAGCCACCACCCCACAAAATAATGATACTTTCCTAACGTCGCCTGATATATGTTCTTTTCTCAGTCAAGTCGGAACCATCTAGTCCAGTGGTTGCTGGGATTGGTACCAACGTTACCCTATCGTTTTATGTATATGGGCGACGATCTTTTAGGCCGTACAGCGAACGTTCATTCAGACCAAACGTATTTCAACTTCCCTGCCATCTTCACACCCGATGATGAAGCACCAAATTATGTAAAGGACAAAACCATTTTACATGCGGATGGTAACAAAACAACACATTTCTATTTGACTGATATATCTCAACATTTGGCTGGAAAATATGGTGTTGAAGTCGAGGGTACTAATTTAATAGACTATATCGAAGTGATTGTTCCAGCAGGTTAGTAACACTGATATTTCAAATCTTAAAATAATAATTCCGGAAAATTTTTCAAACCATGGTGAAATCGCCAGATTTAAATGGTTTTATCATTTGGGAATGCCATATAAGGATTAATCCTCATACATAAACAAATATTAAAATAATTTCAAGGACTAGTACCTAGCTTTATATTGCTACTTAGATGTACATATACTGTGATCACGTAAATGATTTCAACAGTCGTATAATATGTATTTTGTTTTTCTTTCAATAGCACGTTGGCAGCCAAGCAACCATGTTTACGTTAAAGCTGGCGAAGCAGTACATTTAACATGCATGGCTGTACAATACGGATCGTTGGTGGCGTCGACCAACTTGACTGGTTCTGACAGAGCTAAAAGGATGATATCCGACGAACGTCCCAATCCAGTGGAGAGTCTATCTATCACGATTGAAAATGTCTCGGAAGCAGACGCAGGACTTTACGCATGTACCAGTCAGGACTCGATGGATTCGAGTGTTAGTGAAACAGACATGTTAGAATTGACGGTTACAGCAGGCCAAGCAGACACAGGTAATGTGCATAGCTAGACTTGTTCTTTTTCCCAGGATTCTTTGCACGATGGCACTCATCCATAAGAACCCGTTTAACCACAATTGTATTGTCCGTGTTTGGATAATTTAATAAATACTACCATTGTTTATGTGTCATCATGTAGTCAAACTATATGATGAATTTACATCTGATGCAGTTTAATGATTTCAGCTTTTTCAAAGGAAGCGGTTGAATTGCTCGAATTACTATCATATTTGTTTCAATAATTCACTATATACGGCACAATTATGGAAATTGACTCAAATGCAAGATATACTAAATCAACTGATACTGATTCAACACAATAGTACCACAGATACATGGACTGTGTGCAGTCGTTTCTTTTTTCGTGTGTTTTGAAAAAAATCGAACCTTGAAACAATTCTAGCTTTAACTCAGTCTCATTCTGAAAATGCGACTTTTAAGTTTTACTTTTATATTTTACTAGCTTACACTTAATGCCGTGTAGAAGGTTAGAAAAACATTCAATAGTTGTTTGATACCATGTGGCGAAAATAAATATGTATTATAATAATCATGAACTAAAACAATGTTCTTATACACACAACTGAATATTTGATTACCAAATCACAATTTATTTTTACGGTAGTGGAAAATACTCGGTCGAAATATGCTAGGTTTTAGCTAGAATAACTCGGCCAATTTTATTATTTTGCCCAGGCTACTTAAAAACTGAAAAGGTCTTTCATTTAAATTTTGTCAACAACACAACTGTGGTTATACAATTGCCCCTCTTCCGTGCCCAAGGAGGCCATTTGATTATTGAGAAACAGTATTCCTAATTTGTGTGACGGGACAGTACAGACAGCAAACTCCATTTTTCTACTATGTGCATTAACACATACTTTCACATGTTGCTCACACATTTTGTTTTCAGGAATTATAACACCATGTAGTAAAGCAACGCAACGCATGCGTAACACTGTTTTCTCTCTGATTTCTTATAATCAGCTCATTGTGGCCCGAAGCTGTAGTAAAGTTATGTACAGAAGGGAAAATTCTTTCTCAGTTTTCTCTTTGAATAATCACGTCATTTGAAAAATTTCATTCACATTTCAATATGTTGTTATAGGAGAATGCCACTATAGAAGATACATTAACTATCAATGCACACTCACATTTCTAGTTTAATATTAATATTATTGAAATTTTTTAAATTGTCAATACAATTTAATTTTTATTTTGAAATTAAACTTTTCTAAATTTCTAACAACAAATAAGTAATCAAAGCTATTACGTGTTTAATGACCAGAAACGTAAATACGAGTTCGATTTTAATAACCGTATTTTATATTGATTCCAATGCAGGTACACGGTCAAGTGCTGCGTCGTTTTTGGTGGTAATCTGTGGGCTATGTACCCTGGTACAACATTACTTCGCCGTATAGACGTATCAAAGTCAGAGTAAAATGTAGACGTATTCTTAATTGTCATTGTATTACATTGTTTCACAGTTTGAGACTGTTTTACATCGTTACGGGTATTAGTATTTTGAACGTATAATGTATATGCAAGTAGCTTTTTCAGTCATTAATTTTCTTTGTTTACAAATAAGGATAGACGATTGTTTTTATGTTTTATGTTTATTTTGAATAGTGTACTAGTTATAACTTTTGGGTATTCTGTCGATTTTACAATAATCGTGTTCAATGCATGTTTGTTTGTGTGTATTTTTTTATTAAAATTTGCTAGAGGAAAAGAATTCACCTGGTAATGGAAGTAATCACTCTTGGTCAGCAAGTTTTCACGTGAATGCCACAAACAAGAGCGATTATATTGACCATGTTTAGCTTGATATACCGATATTTCAAAACTCGAATGGAAGCTCTGGTAGGGATATTGATAGTGTGTTTGAATAATTTGTATTGTTATTAACGATATAAAAATGGAATAACATTTCTCGTATTTTTTCTCATCACTACGTAAACTTGTGTGCATACATGCTCCGCATATGTGTGGCATGTACATTTATTATTTTGTGTATTACTTGAATAAAACGTACTAATAATTCAAAACTAGGTACATATTGGTGTATTTTAGTAAGTGCGCTCCGCATTCACAAACCAAACAGCCCTTTCCTTTTTAGGGCCACAACATCCTCCAAAATGAGAACTGCTGCATGTATAATATGCATTTACGTAACTGTACGCATGTCGATTCTCATTCAGACGCCCAAATATAATTGTAAATGAAGTGAAAAAAAAGATGTCAGATGTTCATTGAATAAACACAATAGTATCACCACAGACACAACGACATCCATCTCGAAAATATTAAAATGAATGAGTGATATATCAATCTCTCACACAGCACGTATATACCCAATTCGCAAACTAATGGCTATTTGAAAAGATGACGTTCCTTCGTTTACATACGAGTATAGAGGCACTTTGCGAGTTAAAGTCGGATGAATGCATTCTGCGAGTCAATCAAGCCATGGATGGATAATTGATGTGTCACTGACAGCTAATACATTTTAGAGGATGTACGTTTGTTGATACAAAGTTCGCACTTCAGATGTACACAGCGGCGTCCAAACCGTTAACTGCTGTTCAGCGTTCAATTTTCAGACAGTTCTTCCAGGAGTGAAACATGTCTAAATTCGAAAACAAATACTAGTGTTCTAAACTATTTGTAGTTGTTATTATTCAATTGACGTGACACAAAGTATCAAAACAAATGGATGGACTCGGGCTGAAAGACGTTTATTCAAGACAAAATGTATTCAACTGTAGACGAGACTCCCTATAAAAAAACGAACCCTGACATCGGAAATACCTTATTCATAGAGTGCCGAGGACCGCCGTCCGTGGCGACACAATGCACGTAGCCTCATTGCGACCGATGCATGTTGGGTGACAAGGGGGAATTCCGATTGAGGTAACCAAGATATATCACAACAGCAGCGGCAAATACCCGTAATTTCACTGCAGTGCCTGTTAGGAACAGATTTCTGAGTTTATGTATTTGAGGATACCGTATCATATTCTTTATCTTACATTACGTCACTGTAGTTTATAGCCTATCACGTTAATGTAACTTGAGATTTACCGCTAGAATGTGAATTTGATATATGGGCGAGTCAAGGCTACCGTGGGGAGTAGTGTTTCGACTTCGTAATGAAAAAGTCATTCTTTCAACTCGAAGTAACGGACTCGGCCCATACATATCAGAACCCATACCCCACACAGTTGACCAACCCCTGTGGTGCTCGCACTAGGGTGTTACTGTACTATTCGTAACGTTACAAGAGCCCTTCCACGGTCACTCTGCCACTGCCCCAAGCCGGGGGGGGGGGTCCCTTGTGCATAGGTCGTCAACACATGGTTGCTTGCTCGCAATTATTCAGTTTTTTTATGAATGCTGGCTATCCATTTAATCTCTCGCGGTTCGTTTTATTACTGTACTGTAAATACGAAAACCACTATGATGGAAATGTTAGGTTAAAGTTTGTAATTACTGCATTGTGTATAAAATATCACAATATTTGTGAAAAACATTTTCAAGGTGGGAATCAAAACAGAGCACATCAGATACGAGTTTCCCGTCATGCCACACATTGGTCAGACGCACACTCACGTTGTTTATGTTAAAGGAAAAGTCAAGTCTAACAACATAATACTGCCAGATGAAAGAGCTCGGCAAATGCAAGATCATGCAATTTAAAGCTTTTTCATATCACTTTTTCATTCTCTAGATATTTAACTTTTCATTAATTTATATAGTCCACCATCTTGATTCTTCAGCAAAGGATTATGGGTAAAGTATGACATCATATCCACTGTTGCCAGAAATTGAGAACATGATTTAATCTATAACTTCAAAAGTTGAAGTTTGTTTCGTTTAACGTTGTAATATTTCCCGCAATTCGAAGTTTGGTTAACTGTTAATTAACAATCGAGTTACTAAATTTGAATGTTATTACGTTATAGGTGTGCACAATTCCTCTATAGAGGAACTGTGAGTCGCGTTAGTTTGAGTGGATGTTTATTGGATTAAATAGTTAAGCCCACAAACAAACGTGGCACACATCTGACCAAAGGAAAAGCCACGTAGCTAATCTGTTCTATAGTAGTTTGTGATTTCGTCAACCAAATGTTACAATCCGAACCTGCTCAACACTAATATTTATCGCAAAGGTAATTTTTTCTCCCGGGCCAATGAATCCAGAATCAACGTTATTTTAGAATGATTTTTATTTGTTTTCACGTGATAGTTGGTCTTAGATTAGCATTATCATATATATGGAGAGAACCTCAGATAAGCGGAACGTCTGATGGCTGATATTTACAACAAACGTAAACTTCAAGACCAAACTTATTGAAATGTTACAATTACCTAGATAATCGGAAGTCTGTAATTAGCAAAACAAGCGTCCTACAAAAGCGATATTTACAACTGTCGGTCAAGGTGGCCGCTCAAACAAAGGTTTGACCACACCTGCTAATAATTAACAAGAAACCATGCTATTCGTTGTGAAAGTGTGGACGGGATTCCAGTCCAAACATATGTAGCGGCAGCGGCTGATTTTATAGTCGAAGGCAACAACATTATTGCTGCTTTCAGGTTGAACAAATCTGTCGTCAGTGTCATGTGTTGATAAGGTCTGTGCTAATAGGATGGTTATTGTGGATTTTTCAATCTAGGTTGAACCGTGGTTATATCAAATCATGGAACTAGAAAGGGATGATCAAATGTACCAAATACATGTATAGCTCGGGCCCATATGTGTGACGTGTTTGAGCGGTATCTGTATAATTTCGCTTGGTTGCAAACGACCTACAATAAAACATGTGTAATCATTTCGTAGGCAGGTTTATGTACACCTTTAAGATACCAATATTAACGGTATATTGCCAATCGTGTGTGATAACCAGACATATAATATCCACAGATGATTTTGCTTGTTTTTCATGCCACCAACAAGGCCACACGCGTAGAAACTGTCCAAATAGAGAGCCTATTGATGGCGCTATTCACTTCGTGTTTCACGGTGCGAAATTGTCTCATATTATTAGGCCAATGAAAAAAAATGCGAGTTAGGGTTTTGTTTCGTTTCGTTTCGTGGAAAAGACTAAGCCAAAACCAAGACAAAGAAAATTAAAGCCGCAAGCGGCGTCACCGGGGCCCAAGCTGACAAGATTCTGTTTCGTAATTAATGTGGTCACATGTTAGACAATCAGGTAGCTTGAATTATCAGTAACATGAGGTCAAAATGAAGTTGGTACCATGTATTTACTTGGTTTGGTTATCAAAATATGGTTTTCAGGATATATAATGAGCCATGTTCTTATGCACAATAATGAGATTACATAATCATATATTACATAATCATATATAGCCATTTCTAATGTCAGTTACATCTTTCATTCAATGTCTTCATAATGACACTAGTTACATGTCC